TAATATCCTTAAAACAATTAATCTAACACTTCGAAGTTACATAGAATTTTATATAGGCATTTGAAAATGCAAATATACATATTGTAAAATTGCTCAATCATTTTAACTAAGAGAATGCTCAGTTTACGTATATTCGTATTTCTTTCCAAAAATATGGACATTAATAATAAAAATATTAATTAACCATAATTAAAGAATTAATGAATTACATTAAAAAATAGCAACAACTATTTCACATTATTCGTCTAAGGAACACATTTCAAATTCTTCGACAAATTTGAGGTAGATGTGCTCGTACTTCTTCGTAGAGAAAAAAGAAGAGAGAGGGGGGAGACAAGAGGAAAGAAACGACTGAAGATTGATAAAGAAAAAATTGAATTTACGTATTCTCAAAAATGAGAACAAAGGTGTTGAAAAAATTAAAAACTCTTGCACAGAAATAAAAAAGAAAATTAAAACAAGCATAAGGCGAAATCATTAATCAATTTGTAAACGTGCCAAAATTCAATTGCACGTTGCGATATATTCTATATGATACGTGCATAGCAAATACCTTAAATTTCATCTACAAACACGTATGAACGAAATAAAGGTTTTCCAGAAACATTTAGGCGTGACAAATTCCACTAATTCGGTTTAATTTCTGTACGATGTTAAACTGACATTTGTAAGTCACCATATTTGCGAGGGAGAAAGAAAGGTTATTTACCAGGGTACGCAAGTTAGCGAAAAAAAGTGGAAATCGTATTAATTTATTAATTATTCGACGGATACAACTACGTCCCTATCGTTATTCGCTCGGGCTATTTCTTTGTTACAGATTCAGCAAGAAGATATAGAAATCGTAGATTCATCGCATAATCGAATTTTTCGACATAAAGAGCGTGCACATGGGACAGATGAAAAAAGCAACAATTTTCGGGGTTATAAATGCGTGAAACTCGGAAAAACGTAGTACAATTATTCTATAGAAGAAGCGTTAATTCAGTGTTCAAACGGTGAAATAAAAACTTAAAAATCGACAACAAACGTACCTTTCAAGACTGAAGCTGCTCACAAAAGAAGAGACGAACCACGGAACGAACAACGAACCGGTCGTTGTGTCGGTACTTTCGTTGTAGTAAATCGCACAATACGAAATTAGTTTCTCTTCTATCCTTTTCTGTTCTCGCCAAGTGCTACTATCATAAGATTTGAAAATTCCCTATTTAACCCTTTTTTTGCAAACCAAGTTAATTATTTCCAATCTAACGGATGTAAAAATAATAATACCCTTTGATTTAATTAAATGTAATTAACAGTGTTTTCTGAGTTTTCTCAATAGGTAACTGTATTTATAAAATCCTTGAAACATTTTTATATCAGCAACCGTTAAAAAAATTTTTATAAAACATTTACGGTATAAGTATGACTATATATAAGAAAAATCTAAATTTTACAATATGATTTTGTTAAAATTTTTCTTCTACATTGTAATAAGAAGAAAAACTTTAAATTTGCAATATATTTCAACGGTCATTTATTTTTTTTTTAAACAAAAACAAAAAAGAGAGGAAAATCTCGAATTTTTCAAATTTCGTTGATATGTCTTCGAATGTTGGCAGCTCTACTCTAAGCCTAGTTCCACTTCAATTCGCCGTGCGTCTCGAAGGGGTAATAAGATGGCGCAGTGTGACGTCACGTCCGCCCGGGTCGAAAACGTAACGTAATTCGCCAACACGTTTTCTCCTATAACACTATTCCTTTAGGCTTGGCGCCTTCATCAAATGCAGTGAGCGTCGGTGTACGTAAAATGGCGGACGGTGACATTGATTTGTACGCCGACGATCTCGAGCAAGATTTCGCGCAGGTAATTCGTTTTTATCATTGTTAATAAGTAACAAGTCGGTGGGTAGACGTTGCTATTAATCGGCTGCTTTCATAAAAAACGTTTGAAACTGTGAGAAAAATGCGATAGTAGGTAGAGCGGATTGTTCGGCGTCATGGAGGAGAGACGGATAACGATTGCTGGAAAGCGGTGTCTCATTCTCGTTCAGGCGGGACACTAATTTTAACATACATTTCATTCGTGACGATTAGTTGTTGCATTCGATTATTACGACGGATAAACACTTTCTGTATTTTGTTACATAATTACTGTGCACTCGTGCACGCTGGTTGCATCGGGAAAAAAGTTAAAAAGCAAATACGTGTAATACAGATTCACAGCAAGAAAAGCAAAATGGTGTTAGCGGTAAGGCAAATGTCGTAGCACTTTATTCATCCACTTCGTTTATCAGTTCAGTTTTAACAGACGTTATATTGCTGCATGCTAGACACCATTTTCTTGTTGAATATTTTTTTATATATATATATATTCACGTTCTCTGCTATAGCTTCTTGTTTCGTATATGAATTTTTTTCATTCCGCCAAGTTGCATCGGAGCGATCCACGGTTAATCGAAAAGAGAATTTATTTCGTTGCACATGTTAAATAGGAGGTTAATGAGTATCTATGAAATCCGTTCTTTTTATCGAATTTGTATATTTCCGGATTATTGGCCTTAGTTCCACCGTATTTCTATTTTACTATTTTGTGAATTACGTACATATAATTCTTACATAGTTTATGAAAGTATAAGTGTATTTTAATATTTGCCAATAAATATGCCTACTTTTTTTGAGAAAATATGTTTTTAGAATCAATTTTTTTGTGTAGTTAAATATGTATTGCAATACGATATGAGTGTATAAGAAATGTTTATCAGTACGTGAATGTTATTTATTAATTATCCTTTGTTAAAATTTTGAAATTGATATTTTTTTGTCAATATATAGATGTTTTTATTAATAAATGAAATAAATTGAAAAAACAAAATGAAAATTTTGCTAACTTGTATTAAATTTTTTTTTTTAAATATTTGTCATTTCTTTTAGCGATATAAATCAATTATACTTAGGATTTATAACAAATAAATTGAATTCATGAAAACAGTTACACATATAATAAAATACTTTTAAAATATCAATGTGTTTGTTTGTGAAATAATTAAATTAAATAGGAAAATAAGTTTTTTTTTACTTAAATATAAAAATTGTAGGTTATCTTAATGTGATTACTAACTTTTGATCCATTTATAACTTGTAATTTGACTTGTTCATTTGAGAAAAAACTAATTAATTATCTGTATCTTTATAATAACGATACATACTGGTATTGATTTCCTATATTTCACCTAATTATGGTATGTGTTTGATAATATGTTTTAGGATGAATTTGCTGGTGATGGAGTTGATTTATATGATGATGTGATAGCAGCTCCTGCGGGTGGGAATGGTGGTGTTTCTACAGGAAATAGTGGAGATGGTGGAGGTGATACTACTTCTCCAAATGAAGAAACAAATGGTAGTGCACCTTACCATCAACTTGGGAATAATATTCAGCCAAACCAAATTGGGAGACGTCATCAACTATATGTTGGTAATTTGACTTGGGTAAGTAACTGAATATTAATTTATTTTTATTTATTATTTTTCTATATAAGTGTATGTATTTTGTAATAGTTTAAATTTCATTGATATGTTTATATCACAGTGGACAAGTGATCAAGATATAACTGATGCAGTACAAAGCATTGGTGTATCAGATTTTGTTGAAGTAAAATTCTTTGAAAATCGAGCTAATGGACAATCTAAGGGTTTCTGTGTGATATCTCTGGGTTCAGAACAAAGCATGAGGATATGTATGGAAAGATTACCTAAAAAAGAATTGCATGGACAGAATCCAGTAGTTACATTTCCTACTAAACAAGCTTTGAATCAAGTAAGTCTACATATTTGTTTTATATACAAATAATTACTTGCGGGAAAGAAATAATTGATACTGTGAGAAATTTATTTTTGTTTTATCATAAGGTTTTATTTTTGAGTTTTTAATCTGATAGTTTTCAATACAACTTTAAATATCTCTTCCTTTTCTTCGGAAAAGAACTTCTAAATATTAGAGGAATGCAAGATTATTTACGAATATTTAATGCACTTTTTTGTAAACTATAAATTCATAATTTTATGATAATAATTGTAGTTATTACACTATGCTTTTTTAGGTTTTAATTAAATTTTACTGAAAAAAAGCTCAATTGTAAATAATTTCGTATCAATAACATGAATGTGTATGTCAAGATTAACACACACCATTAGGTTGTCAAGAAATTAATATTCTTTCTATAACTTGATTCAATTAAAGCACATATTATTTACAATTAAACTGGACATGTCTGTAACATTGGCTATGAATGTTCAAAAACTTATTATATAAAAGGATTTCATTTCTTGAATTCGTTTATTTCTTCAGTACTATTTCTTTTCTTTCTCGACGGCGTAATAGTTATTTCCTTTTCCCGCTAAATAAATTAAAAATTTTGTACATGTTCTCAGTTTGAGTCTCAGTGTAAGACACGTCCAGCTCCGGCTCCTCAGCAGAGTCAGAGTCAGCGCCCCCATAATCCACATCAACATCAGCCACCAATGCCACCCCATCAACAACATCAACAACATCCTCAACACCCTCAACATTCGCAACAAAATCATGGTCCTAGGATGATGATGGGTCCTCCACAAGGTGTGAGACCACAAAGAATGCCACCTCCTGGCATGGGTCCACCAGGTCCAGGTGGACCTGGCCAACAAGGTCCACCACGTATGCACGGTCCACCAATGGGTCCCGGACCGGGACCACATCATCCTTTACCTGGACATCCTAATCAAGGCCCACCACCTCCTGGCTATCAACAAGGACCATGGAATGGCCCAAGACCAAATGGTCCACCTGGACCACCAAGAGGTCCAAGTGGACCTGGTGGCCCACCTCAGCAAGGTCCACCTGGACCAGGTCCTGGTCAGCATCGACCACCTGGAATGGTACGTAGTATAATATCGATTTTTATCAATATTAAACGTGACTGCATGTGGTTTGTGTTTTATTAATAATCAATTTATGCACAAAACTCAGTTTATCAGAAATCTTATTTTAAGAATTAAATAAATTTTATACATTATATCTGGGATAAATACAGAGAAATGTTGTTATAATTTACAAATGAATGTTTTTCAATCTAATTAATTATTTAGATAAAAAGTATTCATTGCTACTGAAGATCACAAAATTCATCTTCGGTAGCTATTTTGATCTAACTAGACATGAGATACAATTGTAGGTTTAACTCAAATAAAAAGTTTTTTACTATTCTTAAAATTATGTTTAAAATATTTATTAAATATTTTTTTGTTTTTTAATGATTTTTTGTTATAAAAAATTGTATAGTATATGCAAATTGATTCATTATTATAGTACAAGTTACAAGAATATTTTTTGCACTTACATGTCTTACGCTCCGCGTAAACAGAGTTGCACTAGAGACCTTTCAGAAGCCAGTTACCATATACCACAGGTAACACATAATGTGTTGTTTTTCCTGCTTTTCACGTTGTAAAAATTATCCATTCTTTAAATTTTTCAATACTCATTTGTTTTTGAATATGAAATTTGTTTAAAAAATTGATTAACAGATACTAAATAAAAATATATTCTTCTAATTTGTAGTTCATCAATTTTGAAACATTTCAAGTCAAATTTGTTTTTTAAAGTAATTTTAGTATCTTTAACTCTGTTAATCAGAGAATCATTTACATTTTATGTTTCAGTACTTTATGAATTAACTATTTGTTTTTACATGAACATATGTAATCTTCATTTGTGTTCACATATTAACTTTTCAAATAATTAAAATTGACTGTACAAGATGTTTGTTTCATCTAAAGTTCACAGTAATTGCAGTGCATGAGATATGTATAACATGAAAAGCTTCTTCAGAAATCCACTGAATTATTTCATTTCAATCTGTTTAATGGTTAATTGGGTTTCTTGCAGCACATTAATGAAAAGTTTTCTATAAATCTTCTATAACTGGCTCTGATATCTGAATACTTTATTTTTCATTGCAAAGTAATTCAAAAAAGAAATTTTCATTATACATGTTACCCTAATAAGGTAATATCTTCATAACAATACTCAATAGTAACATGTGCTATTGATTCATCTTATTATTTATTAATTTCTTCCTGTTATTTTTCAAGT